CCAAGTTATTTCGTAATTGGACTGTCAGTTTATACAATAAAAGTGAATTAATACAAATGGAAATTCGGTGCTAAATGTCAAATTGGCGTCAGACGTTGGGAAAAGTACGTTAGAGAGGAGAAATTTCAAGTTTTATGTAAAGAAGCATGGTTTTCTTAAATAAACATTTTAAAAAATCGTAACTTTTGAACGGATTGAGATAAAAACGTGAGGTCAACGATTTTTTTTAACGCGACGAGCTGACCACCCTGTATATGCAATGATGAGGGATAAAGAGGAGAAAAACAAGAAGGAGGATAAAAAAAGTTGGTATGTTTCACAGATTGTGCCTCAACCATCGAGAGGAGAGGAAAATAATTATTATTCTGGTATCAAATCTGTTTTTCTTCATTATTTGAATAATTTTAATCCATTATGTTTACTTGTTTCAATTAATTAATTAAGGTCTTGGTTGAAATGAAAATGTTAGCGTCACGAGCGGGATTCGAACCCACGACCTTCGGCTCAATACACAGCTGCTCTTACCACTTGAGCTAACGTGACTTCCTAAATTATAAATAACGTACCTACGTGACTTTACGTTTTAATAATTTTAATATAGTACTGTTTTTTTTAATCTACTTTGATCTGACAAAAGGTTCGAAAGTTATACTAAATGTGTTTTTGACAAATGCACAACAATTATTTTGCAATTCGTTTATAAATAAGTTATAAGTATATTATATTATATATCTAAATAAGATTTTAGATGTTTTGTTTCTTGTTAATTTTTTTCGTGAAGTGTTAAAGGACTACTACTATACTACTACTACTAGTTACTAAAACAGCAATGATTTTGAGCACTAAATTTTCAATTTACACATTGTGCGAATATAACGTTTTATAAAATCTATCAATTAGTTAATGTTTTTTAGTTAGATAAAAAAGTCAGTGTCACGAGCGGGATTCGAACCTACGATCTTCGGCTGGATACGCTGCTGCTCTACCACTTGAGCTATCGTGACCTCGATCCACTCGGACACTAACTTCCCATCTGAACCCCACCTTTTGAATTTTCCCTCCTTTTTGCCATTTTTAATTGATTAATTAATTGATAAATATTAATTGGTCAAGCGAACCACGAAAACTAGTGAGTTTTATGAAATTTTAAAAGTATGTTTTAAAACATCTTAAGAGTCCGTTCTAATAAAAAATTAAGAAAAACAAATCGTAACAACAATGTAATAATAAAAAGTACACGTTTAAAATTGAAGTTGAATCTTACGATAAAAGCCATGCTTTAACAAGATTGGAATTTAACATTTTCCTCAAAGAGGTAAATTTGAAATCTCCGAAAATGTTTTCTTTAAGAAAAAAAAAACACTGCATATCAAAGAGATTAAAAGAAAGCGAGTGAATTGAAGGAAAAGAATATGAAACCTTAAACATCCGAGCAATACGAATCCATATGACGATCCCTGGTACAATTTTTTCAATAAAAGGGGTACATTGATCAATGCGATTTTACATTTTTATACCTGCGAAGGCCCAGTGTAATTTCATATTTAGCGGTACAAATTTGAACGATTATGACGAAAAATATTGCATGCTAAGGATTTCTGTAACCATAACTATATAGTCTGTTAAAAGTTGTATATTTTTGGAATTAACCAATTTATTTAATTGCATTTTTCCTCATTATATAAATATTTCCATAATTTATGCTTTGCCGATAACTGGTATTGGAAACTATACAAAATTCTTTACAAGGATTTCCATCACGGCTTAAAAAGCAGTAACGGTGGGGATTATCCACCTCACGAAGGGATTACAATTTTACAGGAAATGGCCCCCTCTGTTGGGAGTAATAGATTTACGTGTACTATAACAGGGGGCGTTTGCAGGCACAATCACAGCCAGGTCTGATTTCATTTGGCAACATCCTTTAGAATCGTATTACCAAAATATATAAATAGATAGAGTTCTTCTTTCAATTTTCGTGGTACGTTATACTTGATTTTCGATTTAAAATCCAATTGTATTTATAACAGGTGTATTCGTGCAAAGTTTGTAACGTGCTAAATGTGCTATTTTGATATTCACACCGTAAGCTCTCGTGAACGTTAGGAGAAGTTATTTATAGATTTTCAATATGTGTTATGCGTTCTTTCTCATACTTAATAACGTTTAATTAATTGTTTGAAAGTACTAAATTAACTTTAAAAAAGTGCTATTGAGTTAAGATTTCCGTATGGTAAATGTGCATATAATTTCAGGAAGGTTATTCCTAGGTTATGATACTTTTTGTCCCATGTATTCACCAACTTTTGTAATCTGTTAACTGCGCTATTGTGTTACTAGGAATATACGATCTTTCAATGTTTCCATATGCTAAATATTCCAACCTCTTCAGGATCGTTATTTATGGTAAATTGATCGTTTAAAAGTGCTATTGTTTTGTTAAAAATATACGTAAACGATGTTTCATCATTTCCATATGGTAAATGTGCTAAAAAGTTCAGGAAAGTTATTCCTTGGCTATCAAATGGGTTTTGTCCCTTCTAGTGCGTGATTAATGACGATAAAATGATAGTGTATAAATACTAAAAATAAGTAAAAATCTAGCGTGTTAGATAATTACGGTCCTCACAATTTTTGTACCATGTTGAATGTGCCATTGTGCTATTAATAATATACGTAAATGATCTTTCAAGATTTCCGTATGGTAAATGTGCAAATAATTTGAGGAAGGTTATTCATAGGTTATGAAACTTTTTGTCCCTGGTTTCACTAACTTTTGTAACCTGTTAACTGCGCTATTGTGTTATTAGGAATATACGATCTTTCAATGTTTCCATATGCTAAATATTCTAACCTCTTCAGGATCGTTATTTAGGGTAAATTGATCTTTTAAAAGTGCTATTGTTTTGTTAAAAATATACGTAAACGATGTTTCATCATTTCCGTATGGTAAATGTGCTACAAAGTTCAGGAAAGTTATTCCTTGGCTATCAAGTGGGTTTTGTCCCTTCTAGTGCGTGATTAATGGCGATAAAATGATTGTTTATAAATACTAAAAATAAGTAAAAATCTAGCGTGATAGATAATTACAGTCCTCGCAATTTTTGTACCATGTTGAATGTGCTATTGTGCTATTAAGAATATACGTAAATGATCTTTTAAGATTTCCGTATGGTAAATGTGCAAATAATTTGAGGAAGGTTATTCATAGATTATGAAACTTTTTGTCCCTGGTATTCACCAACTTTTGTAACCTGTTAACTGCGCTATTGTGTTAATACGAATATACGATCTTTCAATGTTTCCATATGCTAAATATTCTAACCTCTTCAGGATCGTTATTTATGGTGTAGTGATCTTTTAAAAGTGCTATTGTTTTGTTAAAAATATACGTAAAGGATTTTTTTAGATTTCCATGTGGAAAATGTTCAAAAAAAATTCAGGTAGGTTGTCCATAGGTTTTCCAATAATATAATAATATAACAATAGAATAATCTTTCCATATGCTAAATATTATAACCTCTGTTTATAATTATTTATTTTATTTTATTATTTAATGATTATTATTAATAACATCACACAAAAATAATAATAAAAATTCCGTTTGTATCAATTCTGTTTGTCTATTCAAAAAATTGATGGGAGATGGTGGACATTTTTTATCTACCCCAGTCGTGCGTGTAATCTGATGGTGTATGAAATGAAATGAATACACACATCTGTAAGAATGACAACTGAAAAGAACATGTGAGATTGAAATCTTTTGAATCTTTTGAAAATATTAAAAATAAACAACCAACATGTTTTTTTACGATTAGTACGTTGAAGAATTCTTTACCTTACATTACTACTTTACTAATAGTACCATTATATTTATTGTTGTTGAAAACCCTAGGTATTTTGCATAAAAAACAAGGGTGAGAGAATTAATTCAATTAATTCAAGAGGATTTTGAGATAGTTTCATTTTCCATATAAGAATTTGAAGGAGGACTTGGAGTTATACGTGACACTTCTGTCCCCTGGTTCATTAAGTGTGACGTTTGCGGTTTGTTCTCCTGACTTGTGTGGCTTGTATAACGCTCATTTCGAACCCACCTGTATAGAGTTAATTCCACAGCTATTGCGTTTTACATACACATATCTCATATATGAATAGGAGAATAAATCCGATGGAAATAGGAGGAATTTGAAGAAAATAGCGCAGTTTATAACAATAGAGAATAAGGAAGTTTTTGATTTTTAAAACAGAATATAAATACATACAATTGAACTATTGACAGTTTTTAGCAGGACTGAACGACTTATAATATAAACATCATAACATATAAACTTTAATTTATCATGGAACTTCAGAACCTTTATACTACTTATTCAATCCATTACATTTACCGGCCACCAAATTACTTTTTTCAATTAATTAATCTTTTTATGTAAGGTTTTGGTTGAAATGAAAAAGCTAGTGATACGAGTGGGATTCGAACACACGACCTTCCGCTAAATACGCCGTTGCTCTACCACTTGAGCTATCGTGACTTCGATTCACTCGGTCACCAATTCTCCATCTCATCTTGAAAAGTGGCAAAAAGGAGAGAAAATTCGAAAGGTTGTAGGTTCAGATGACGAATGGATCAGTCACGATATCTCAAGTGTTAAAGCAGGGGCGTATTTAGCGGAAGGTCGTGGGTTCGAATCCCGCTCGTGGCACTTCCTTTTTTATACTACTGTTCATTACACAAATATCCGATTAATTGTATTAGAAATTAATTCGCTTATACACTAAAAAAACAGACACTTGACATCTGTCTCTGACCCTAACTAGCTTAACCTCACCTAATTCGTTTCTAAGGCTAATCTAACCCAAACCATCCTAACCTATTGAAATAATGGAGTTGGATGGAAATGGAGGGCCGCAAAAAGTGTATTAAAAACCAGGTATCCAGTGCAAAACATATTTAAAATAAAAAATAATTCATAACTGGCTAATTGGTTTCAACTTACTGTTCACCTGCCCATTACTCCTTGGTATAGATGAATGTGTTGACGTCTCGTCTTTAGCCGGATGTTCGGATGAGCTAGCCACTGAAACACGTAAACCAATCCATTAAATCACTTTCCCATGATATTGAATTATGAAAAATTTTGCCATGCAATTTTAATTCTTAGATAAACATTTATCCTGTCCATTGTGGCATAGAACTATCTAAAGTTAAATTTTAGCACTAGGTACATGTATTATTTAATTTAATAATGTTATTGTTATAATATATTACATGTTATATGTTATATATGTAATATGATATATGTTACATGTTATATTTTATATGTTATATATGTTAAGTCTGTAATAAATTTTATATCTGTTATATGTTATACGTTATATGTTTTACGTTATATGTTTTACATTATATGTTATATGTTATGTGTTATATGTTATATGTTAATGTTAAATGTTATATGTTATATGTTAATGTTACATGTTATATGTTACGTGTTATATGTTATATGTTATGTGTTATATGTTATATGCTATATGCTATATGTTAAATGTTAAATGTTATATGTTAATGTTACATGTTATATTATATGTTATACCATATGTTATATGATATGTTATATGTAGTATGTTATACGTTATATCGTTGACACCATGTTAAAGTGACGAATGTGAAAAGTGGAGAAATCCATATTCGTCACTTTAACATGGTGTCAACGATATGTTTATGCTATATATTATATATGTTATATGTTTTATATGTTATATGTTATTGTATGTTATGTTATACGTGTGGGAGCAAAAAAAGGAACGAAAGGACCACAAAGAAGAAGAAAAAATGTTTTAATATATGCGTTTAATAATAATAAAACCTTAAAAGCTACTTACAGTATATACATCCAAATGCACTACCATCACCACCATTTCATTAAATTTACCAAGCACCAAATCAACAGAAATAATAAATTTTTCTGAGCTTACTGGCCCCTTTTAAAACTATAGTGTTTCAAATTTACTTGAAGATTTGATGTGATTGATAGCCCTATCACATACACCTGACTCGTATCGCTTTTCGAATCATGCATGTGTCGCTGCTGATGTGACAAACGTTAAACGTTAAACGTTTTATATATAATATAATATTATATTATTTAATTACCTTGTACACCTCAAAATTATAAATGTTTAAATTTTACAGGGAATTTGAAGAATTGAATGAAACAGTGAAAACCGTCGGTCTTTTTCCCGAGTGTACATTGTAAAAGCTCTCTGTAAATCAGGCTCGACTTTCTTTGACCAGACCTAATCGTAAGTCTAAAGCCCGTGCTTATCATGGGCAATTCCAGAAATCTTAAACGTTCTTTACCACAACTGCCAGACACTATCGACGATAAAATTATTGTTAAGAATAGTTTACTACGTTAATAATTATTCGAAAAAGTCAACATTATGTAGTTGTTTTTATAGAGCCAAACCTGTTGATCTGTTGGCAAAGTAATTAATCACTTTGATTAAATGAAAATAATAGCGTAATATTGTTCTTCTTTGTAAACCTGTTACTGCAATACAATACAGGCTAGAGTCTATATATTTATTTGTTATCAGAGTATTTTTTTCCGAAATCTCGATACAATGTGCTTAAGATGTTTAGAAATAGCATTGCGATTGAATGTTGTGGATGTTCAGTATTCGCGAACTTTTATACCACAATAGCAAAATTCTTGGCCGTGAACGAGAAGGAAGAAATTCCATGAGCCGTTCTAGACAAACTGGTTTCGTTCCTCTTTTCTCACGTCAATTTATTAGCTCGCACGTTTTTAAAAGTGAATTAATTTTTTCCCCTAAAAATTCAACTGGATGTTTTCGCGGGCTATGCTAAATATAAAATGAAGTTCACTGACAAAGAAGTTTTTAAAAATTCATAAATGCGATTCTTTTCAAAATGAGGGCTGCGCACTGCTGGTTTTTTTTTTGTTTTTTTTGTTTTTTGTGCGGGATTTGCTCCACGGGGGAGGATTCTTTAATAGTAGAGGTAAACCATATTTTATTCAAAACCTGACAATCAATGTTTTAATGTATTCAGCCTAAAAATACGATCGTTATTCGCAAAATATAAATATTAATGTGAAACGCATTCATTTAATTTTAATTGTCTTGAATATACTTCCGAATAAAATGACCAAATGTCACTGCGATGAAATGACAATTGAAAGGACACATTTTACAGTCTGCCCATAAATTGATTTTATATCGCATGTAACTTCGATATATATCAGCCCTCAATATTAAAAATATGGGCTCGCTTCCTTCCTACAGCTTTCCCCTCAGTACTTTTAATCTACAATCAACAATTTACAAGATAGCAAATATTTACATTTTAAGGTTTCAAGAATAATGAAATAAAATTTACAAAGCAAGATTCAACATGACCCGTCCATTTAAATATAACCTCCACCCTGTCACCCAATCCATTACAGCTCATACCACTACACATTTAACCTAAATTTACCATAATAACCTAGAAGAGAGAAAAAACGGCTAAAGAAATTGAGAAAATATTAACATGACAGTTTTTGAAGTTCAATTTAAAAATATATTTGCAGTAAATTTAAAGGTAAAAGGGACAGGAGCATGGAGTAGAACAATGAAGTATAAATCAGTACACTGTGAATTTGAGAATCCGACATCAGAACCTCTTTTTAATCAATCTGAACGATTTGAAGTTTGAAGAAGAAGAAAACCGTTAATGAGATGGCGATGCCTAAGGATAATGAAATTGCATGGAATCTCGGGCAGAGGTCAGTATCACCAATTACCTGACCCTGGTATGGTTCCCAGGGATCCAGAATATAGAGGCCATGATGCCCTGAACCCTATTGCAGCCTAGCACCTTGCCACAAAAAAAGGATACATCAAAAAATGGAATAGTACCCTAGATGAATAAGAAGATATTCACAGAAGTTCCATCCGCAAGACTTATAAAGGAATCCCTGACAGGGTACTGCCGGTTATGAACGCTTCCTATGCAAGGGATAGTAGAACAGACAGAAACACTGTACAGATACTGCCAGAACGAAGAGAAGACGGCAGAACAAGTTTTATGTTTTTAGAAGGTTTATGTAGGAGAGGAAATGCCGCAAGACCAAACACTTGGCCTCTTTCAGACGAGGCGGTTTGGTTGATTCAACCAGTTTACTGCCGTGTGAAGACTCGGTTTCACACCAGGCCACTTGTGGAATAAACCTCTCTTCCCAACGGGAGGTCAGTACATGTTAGAACCCGAGGAATCTGGTGCACTTCTAGTGCTTGCTCTTTTGCAAAAAGAGAAGGAAAAAAGGAGGAAACTCAGTAAAGAAAAGTGTGGGTTTATCAGTTGTTATTAAGTTGGGAAACGGCGCTTTCCCTCAAATACTTGTGCTACTTCCCTCCAATCTTCGCTTCTTTTAATTTTATCACTATACTCCTCACACCTCATGTCTCATATTACGGGACTAATACGAATATCTTCAATGAACTGCTCAACATTGAAAGTTGCAATTGCAACGCTTTCCATGGTGAACTCAGTTGGCTCAACTAGGCGACTGGTGTGAAGCATGCCGAGCAATGTCTTTTAAGTTGGGTCAACCAGTGGGATTGAGAATGCGCAACCCGGCGGCCTGGGCGGACGAGTTGACTGCTTGTGAAAGGGTTGGGCGATTCCCATACATTTTGCTACCTCGTTACACCACTCGTTGACAACCGTCCGTTCAACTAGTTGCCTCGTCTGAAAGCGGCCGGAGCCGCTGGCAGGGCAAATGTAGGTTGATCAACATCGAAGCGAGACAGTGATTTATAAAATTAGAGGAGCACGATAGATCTACCCAGGTCGAGGTGCAGAATGCCTTATGGCCACTTCTTTTATCCATAACCCTATATAATCCCTAATACAGAAGATACGGCCTAAGTTATGAAGACGTCATAACATCGAAACAACAGTAAAGGTTTATCACCTATTACAAAGGGGAAATCTACGAATGTTCATTTTTGTCTCATCCTGTTTATATCCCAGACCAATTAATCAAAACAAACTCAGAGATTGATAGACCGAGAAAGGACCAAACTAATTTAATTCTGCCAGTACGTATAACCATCATTGACGAAAACATTTTTTTCAATAATTTTTTATTGTGAAAAGGTATAAAGTTTAATTTTATGATTCCATTAAAATGAATGTGCGATTCGAAAACCCATTTCCTCTTTTTTTTTTTCAAACCTCTTTGCACTTTATATAATGAGCTTTGCTACACGTTATCTTCTCAATCGAGCTTATCCGCTTAATCCAATTTCATTCTTTTTTTAATAAAAATAATTTTTAAAGCCGAAAAGTATTTAATTTTTGAAATAGTTTTTTTAGCATTAATAATTCGACAGTGTCGGTTGAATGGACTACTGAAATGGCAAATGTTGACAATAAGTAAAAAAAGAAATGTGAGTAAACGAACTAATCGAAAGTCAACCTGAACCTATTATCCTTTTATGTACACAAGAAAAATAAAAACAGGAAGATTTTCTATAGTATCGATTCGGGATTCTCTGTTTTTATCCGTTATCATGCTATACCTTTATTCAATTTTTTGAATTACGTTTATTTATTTTTTATTTGCATTTTATACAACTGTACAATTTGATATTACAAGTTGTAAATTTGCAACATTGCTTATTCGGCCTGATGGAGAGGATTTGTTGACGGGAGGAAATAGAGGAAGTATTTCCTTGACGTCTATAATAACTAACAGATCACATTTTCCTGTAAGCTTACGTTTGTGCGACATTTTTGGAATGATGTAAACTTAGAACGATTCAGTAATGGTTTGTGGAATTTTGGTTCAATTTTATTTTGAAACGAATAAGGACAAACCTTTGTATAGTTAGAGTTTATCGTGACGTACAGAAAGTATGAAATATGGAAATAATTGAAAACCAAGAAATCTACACGCACAACACATTCACACATGAAGAAGCTCATGCGAACAAATCAACATCACACCCACACCATTTACATGATTCAAAACACTAAATAAATTAAAAGGAAAACGAATGGAAGATA